GGCTTAGTCAATAATTCTCCCTGTAGTTAGAGGTCTATGGTTAATGTTCCCATAGTTGCCACATTTCACCTTGGGAAATCAAGAGCCCTGAGCAGGTTTCCGACTGGCCTATGGAACTAGATACCTGAAACACAGATGTGACCATAGAGTCAACAGGGGAAGGCTGAGGAATTGGAGTGTGAGCAAGGCCAGGCTTTAGGCAGTAGCAGACAGAGTGCGTTGTTGGTGTCTGCTTCCTGATAGGTTCGAAATGGCTGCTGGCTCGATGTGGACGGGAAGAGTAAAATAATTCTGTTAGCCTGAATTTGGACAATGAGATTGAGTAGAAGAAATCAGAATCAAGAGCTAGGAGGATTCTGATCCACATCAGATGTGGATTTGGCAAGTACTATTTGGCAAGTACTCCAGAGCACTGACCCAACACATTTCTGCTCTCTTCAATGGCTGACACAAAGCCATTTTAATCAGTAATTACATTAGAAGCTACAATTAGTCATAGCACTAACAAGAAAAGCCATTAGTAAGCGCCCACTAAGTACTTATTCTTATGTAGTGGGTACTGAAAATACAGTTCTTGACCTCTGGGTGCTTACAGTGGAGTTGCAACATAAGCAAATTCAACCATTGTTTGCTGTAAACACACACACACACACACACACACACACATGCACACATGCGCACCCACAGCAACCCCTTTTATTTCAAAGAGAGACATTTGTACAAAGTAGCCCCTAAAAGTCAGTTACTTCATCTGCTGTGCCATCAAAAAAACCAGAGATTTGTTTCCAATGTTAGATAACATATTTTTAGATTCTAGTTACTGTTTTCCCAAACTCATGACATAAAAATCTTCTCTTTGAATTCATTTGTGTCATCATGTCTGTAGAACTATACAAGCCTAACCACTTAGGCTATTGAAAACCATGATTTTTTTTTCTAGTTAGGCCAAACATCGGTCATTTAGACATGTCTGTTGTACCACTGAAGGCTAGGGTGTCATTGACACAATTGTCAAAACATGTCACTTGATACCACAAACAGCCATTTTGGTTTGAGGTACTTATCAAATGCTTAAGATTCTCTCTCCTCTCACTCAGGATGTGGTGAGTTGTCTTTCCCTGCTTCCAAATCTGAATGTCTAAGTACTAAATAGCACCAAGACAACTGTAGGTTTGGTTTACGTTTACTATTTTAGTTTTAATATTCTGTGAAGTATGAATTTCTTACCTATTGAACAGATAAGGAGGCTGTGTTAGAGAAGTTATTTGAGTTACACCGTTGAGTCATGAGACCCTATCAAAAAGAGAGCACTTGGCTTCATGTGTACTGTAGTGCCCCATTATATGTTTTAGCTAGCCCAACCTCATGTTGCCAGCAGCAGTCTTCCACGAAATCTAGAATGTAGTGATCCAAGTACTTGGCAGAAGAGTCATCTTTGTCATTGAATTTCTAAAGCCAAGTCTATATGAACTCTGCCATTGGTTATTTAATGACACAACATTTTAAAAAATCAAACCCATCTTCTGAATTGAAAAAGAATAAGGAAAATATTGGAGGACTTTTTAGTTCCTTCTGCCAGCCTGGTGACTAGTGTAAGATGATCTATCATTTTGTTTCTCGGTAGAGAAATGGTTTGCTTTCAAAAAGGTGGTGTGAAAGCCAACAAAAAGTGATGGGAAGACACTATTTGAAAAAGGAGAGGTCTCCCAATAACAAATACTGAAAGTGGTGATCACCAGATACTCACTAGCCTCCCTGAATAATCTAACACTTCAAAAGCTGTGCACTGATTATGGGCCTTGGCCACTTACCCCCCATTAGAGTTAATGAACATCTCAGGGACCTGCTTGGCCACATTCCCATTGTAAGCAATGAGCTAAGGGCAGGCACTGCATTGGGAACTCAAAGATTTTGTCTTTCTTGAGAGTAGTTTCATCATGTTTTGTTTGGAGTGTATTTCTAACTCTATTGTAGTAACAAACAAACAGTTGAGTTAATATCATGCTGCACTTGGGAAAGAGATTCAGAATTGTCTGAGAAGTGGTAGGACCTTGCTTAATCCTAAAAATAAAAAGGAACACTTATCAGAAACCCAGGTCTGAGATACTATATTATTCTAACTATTAAGTATAAAGAAGTTCAAAATATGCTTCTTATTATTTTTGTCAAACGTGTAACTCCTGGAATGTCCCCCATTAACCTTAACTATATTAATTTTATCACAATGACAAAAGCAGAAGAAAATCAGTAAATAGAGACTGTTATGAGGGAAAAAACATATTTCAATTTGTTTTCCAAAAATCCTGTTGACAGTTTCCAGCATGCATGCACACTGTCAGGCACAACCTGCACATGCTCATGCGTACCCTCACACCCACACACACTCTCAGACAACACACATACACCCTCAAAGATACATTCCCTCATTTGCACTGTCTCACCATGTTATCTAGATTATACTGCCTGTGTTGCTATTTAAGTACTGATTTTCTTTTAGATAGGTCCAAAAATGTCATTTTTAATTTTTTAAAAAAGCTTATTTATTTATTTTTGAGAGACAGAGAGAGAGAGAGAGCAGAGAGAGAGGAGAGAGAGAAGCCCAAGCAGGCTTCCCACTGTCAGAGCAGACCTCAGCATGAAGCTCAAAGTCACAAACCAAGAGCCTCAACAAATCATGACCTGAGCCAAGATCAAGAGTCAAATGCTTAACCCACTGACCACTCAGGCACCTCGTTTGTATTATATTTCTATTGGACTATGCTGATACAAAGCATTTTCCAAACACAGTTGACCATGAAAATTAGTTTTTGTATAATATCTTAATGATGCAGTCTAATAGGCTTTGAATTCTGAGATTATACTGTTTACTATTCAACTGGGTTGATCAGCCTTTGCATCAGAAGTGTTTTGCATTCACCTGGGAACAATGGTCGGAATGAGGATGAATGTTGTGTCTAAAAGTATTTTCTTGAGATCGTACTATGGGCCAGGCCCTGCACTAGGCATACAGAACAGGTCTGTGAATCCCATATATAGGGCTCAAACCATAGCAATAGAAACCAGCAAGTAACTGTATTGTGCTGTTCAGTGTTTATTTAAATGCAGATTCTTGGGCACCACCTCAGACCTATTACATGAGTTCTCTGGGAATGGGGCATTTTTAACAAGCACTTCCAGTGATTCTAAGACATGTTAAAGCTTGCAAACCACTGCAAACTTTAACTGGGTGGATAAACATGGATAAAATGTCTTCATCTGTCAGCTTCTGGGTCACAAGCAACAGACATGGGCACTAGTTATCTTGAGTGAAAAGGGAATCAATTGAAAAGATATCAGGAGCTTGTAGAATTGAAAGCAGGCTAGGAAAATGGGCTTCAAAAACAAAAAGCAAGAAGATCGCAGAGGCCTAGGGGAAGAAACTGTAACTTAGATATGGTCACGATATCACCACATTTCCAGCCTCCAAAGGTTTCCTCCATCTTTGCATCATGCATGTGATATTCTAAGTGTGAAATAGGCCTTGTGGTCATGTATATATTGGGGTGAGGGCAAGTCTTGACCTCCTCTGTTTCTGTTATAAGAAACAGCAGTGAGAGATAGCTTCTGGGAATAGCCATCCTTCTCCACCACCCCCAAGATTACAAACAACAGAGCATTCTTCTAAAAAGGAGGCCAAAATACTACCCTGGAAATGTGTGATGAAATGGGAGAGGGGGGAACAGAATGCTCAAGTGCTCCCAAATAACGACTGCCTGTTGTCAGACCCTACAGAAAAATAATCTCCAAAGTGTAAAATCTAGTGGAGATGGGAAGTATCAACATAATATTATTTGGAATTCTTCCACAGGGAAGATGTGCTTCTTCTCCCCATCCATTATTTGTTTACATCAGGATGGACGCAGAAATATTTATTCTCTGAGTAATAATCCAATAGTGCCATTATTAGTCCTACTGCCAGATTGTTCTACTTTGGTCATTGGGAGCTCTTGCAGATGCATCCCTGTGTCCTCTCTCCAATCTAGTCTCTGGATTGGTCTAGGCTTCTTAAAGGCAGGGGCTTCTTTTATTTGACTTCACAGAATGGAGAATTCCTTAATCCATAGATGTCACTGGGCTCGAAGTTGAAGTTACTAATTATTCTTCTGGCTCAGGAAATACTCTTATGTGTGAGGATATGTAAGAAGCAGCTTTTGTCTAGAACAGTAACCAACATATAAAGAGTATTGAACAACTTACAGAGCATGTCATTCCATCTCCACAACCACCCTATAAAGCTGATATTCAAGAACAGAGCCCACATTGGGCTTGGCAGTAGAGCAGAGTCTTAGGGGCCTCCTGCTAGGTCAAGTTTCAGCTCCTCAGCTGGTGTGTTGCAGGGTGGGGGTTATAGGTCCAAGTCAGGGGATTTTAGGGAATGAGCCAGGATTGCTAGGGGAGCAGGTAGGGGACAATCATCAATCATGTGGTCAAAGCATGCAGTTTAACCACTGCCTAAAGATCTACATTTTTGAATATTTGGCACAGTTGTATTGGCACATACCAGTACAAGCTGACTAATAATTTTCTCTGTATACCAGCACTATTTTTCCTGCCTATGGGCACTACTACGCCCATTTTATAAACTGAGGTCAAATAATGTGGCAAGGCTGCAGAGCTAAAGATAAGGTCAGATTTCCTGGTAGATTTCTGTTCATGACAACATGAATTTTGGAAGTTAAGGAGATGGATTTGAATTTTGTAACTAAACTGGATTCAGATGCATCTTCTACCTTTTCTCACAATTCCTCCTCACAATAAGAAATGGCATATTATTGCAATCAAATTCCAAACCAAGTGTGCTCAAATTGCCCTGATTCTTTGATAAGACTTCCTGTTTACAGGGGAACAAAAGACACATCCTCGTGTGTGTGTGCGTGTGTGTGTGTGTCTCTGTGTGTTTTGATATACATCAAGTTTGTGAGTGAGATCTTCTGTTTTCCAACTTGTGGCCCATCCTTCTATAGTATTGCCCTGATCCAAGGAGCTGGAAGGGCTAATGTCAGCGGTAGCCTGGACATACAGCTTCCTCCTCCTTCGTCTGCTTCTCTAGGCTTCTGTGGTTCTGCACAGTGTGGGTTGTTAAGAGCCTCCTGTGCTCCTTGGGCAGTATTTTTAAAAAATCTTCCTTCCATCCTTCACTCTCCAGGAAAGATTCATGGGTATGTGTACAAGTTTGCATTTTCTGCCTTCCAACAGGAGAGTCAAGTCAAGGCATACACCTGTGTAAGTATGTGCATGTGTGTGTGTGTGCATGTTGGGGGGGATTGTGGACCATGAGTTCAGTTTTGCTTTATGCTGACTTACTTAACATCCTAGAGGTCCTTACTTTGAACAAGTGCAATTAAAAACAAAACCAAAAAACAAAATCCTCCTCTGTCCTCAGTATCTGCTAGAAACTTCACTCTCTGGGCCAACAGGGATTCTGAAGAAATAATCCACATGGAAGATACAGCAGTAGGCAACCATGTCTGAAGACAGACTATTTAATTTCTAGGCCCTAAATTCCAAAATAAGGCCTAACATATGATGTTGTCTTCTAAAGCAAATGAGAAAACTGATGAAAAGTTCTCTACTGCAGAGTTAATGCTCAGTTAACGTCAACTATGATTATTGTTGTGTTCAGTCCTTTTGGGGTCAGGGTTGACTGGACCATAAGTAAGGAAAACCAATGAATAGACAAACCAGCACCCTAGGCCAGGGGTGACATAATTTAATAAATCCTCAGAAATGTGCCTGGATAATACTCAGAGAAAAAGGTTACCACTTATAGAAACTGAAGCCAAAAGGTCAAGATGTAGAAAAAAGGTCATACTGGGAATCAGGATGAAGCACAGGAAAACTCAATTTCTAGTAGTTTTTGCCTCTTTTGAATATTTATTGTGCTTTCCAATATACACATTTAATCATATAGTTTTGTTACTTTTTCATTCTTTTTTAAAAAGTTTATTTATTTATTTTGAGAGAGACAGAGACAGCATGAGTAGAGGAGAGGCAGAGAGGTAGAGAGAGAATCTCTGCTAGCACAGAGCCTGATGCGGGGCTTGAAGCCACAAACTGTGAGATCATGACCTGAGCTAAAACCAAGAGTCCAGTGTTTAACCAACTGAGACACTCACGTGCCCCATAATTTTGTTACTTTTGACTTTTGAATGCATGTGTGTTGGTTTTGTGTCCCTATAGTATTTAGGGTCCAGACAAGAAGACTGCAATTGCTCTGTGTTTCTCAAACAGAGAGAATTTAGTGTAGGGAAATGGTTATACAGCCATTGGAAGAGCTGAAAAGTGAAATAGGACACATAAAGTGAACGATAGCAGGAAGTTAGTGCCAGGTCTAGGACTGGAGAGAGAAAGGATACAAGTCACCAAAGCCCAGGATTTGGGGTCATATACTGGAAGCTGGAATCATAATAGGCTGGCAGGTGGCAACTAGGGGTGGGCAGAGAGGGGGCTTTTCTGCAGAAAGTGAGCTACAAAGGAAATACAGCTATGTCAAAAGTACTCCATGAAAAAGAGAGTAGAGAAGTATTCCAGCTCCGACCTCCTCTCGCCCTTCCATCTTATACCAGTGTCTCCCATTGGCCAAACCACCCGAAAGGCAGAAGGTAACAAAACCTGAAGAATGTAGTTCCCTAAGGAATGGATCCCGTACCAAAAAGACAATGACAAGCAAGGGCCCAACCATACAAGCGGCTTGGTGTCATCTATGGTCTCTCAAAGGTGTTTCCTCTCTGTAGACGGTAAAGACATTATTCTTGTGATGGACATTTATTATTGCCTCTGTTTGGGGTGTGATTCTCTTTAAAGGTAAGAGATATGGGAACAGAAGCACTGAAATTCCATAGTCAAATTCAAGAGAATAGGCTTAAAAGTAAGAAGGATATTTTTAAACTCCTAGAACTCTGTAGCTCATGTCTAATGTTTTTCAGCTACAACCTGATGACTCAGAAGATTTTTTCTGGTTTTGTTTTAGCAAATCTTGATTATCAATGTGATCAGCCCTCTCCCAGATCTGGAGGGAATGATTAGCAGGAGGCTAGCTGTGAACTGAACTAGATAATGTTGCACTTGAAAAGGATGCATTCTGCATCCTTAATCTCAAGGACATTTCAAATAGCATTGAAATAAATGCGCATGATCTATGTTGGTGATTGATTCTGAATTTTGGATAATATTTTATGGTTTTATGTGTTGCTTTATTACCTTCCCAGTCATTCTGATATATGTATGTGTGTGTGGGCATGCGCATGTGTTTTAATTGCATCTTGATTAAATTATCAGAGCAATTGAAATTCCTAGGCAGTTCTTACATTGTGAAAGCTAATTTTAGTTCATCTATGCAGTGTCAGAAATTGTATCCACTTGTAGAGTGTTATTGTGTGACACAGATTTTGTCATTTCCATTGCCTCATTGCAGAGAGGTAGATTCCAACAAGACTGGCCACTGATATTCTGCTCTTGCTGGACACAAACTAGTCAAGTGAGCTTGGCTTCTTCAACATCTGGAAGCCCTAAAGGAACTCCTTCCAAGCTTAGTATTAACTCACCCTGACACTTGTTCTTTTGTTCATGCTTCACCTCAAGTTCACCCATAGTGTATTTATTTTTAAACCAATCCTTGCAAGAACTATCACATTACCAAGAAACACATCAGAGACTTACTGTATCCTGGGCTGAAAATATTCCTGGATGACCATGGAGATTGGGCTTACAGAGCTGTGAATTCCATTGTTGGTAACATAATTTGTGGCATTTCATACATTTTTCTCCGAGGCCACCCCTCTTTGTAAAAATATTATCCTTTCTGCCATTTATAGGCAGAGTCAATCCTGCCACATGGATGTAGATGGAGGACCTTGAGGATGTCCTCCAACTTGGCATACTTTCCAATTCACCATCCATTCCTAAATATGGGATCCAGTCGGAAACTCGTGTCTCTTTTTTTCAATCCTTTAAGTGTAGAGCTAGATACTGGTGGGGTGTCTGCCAGACTCATTTTAAGTACCTGCTTCCCCTGAGAATTGCTCTCTCCATAAAAAGAAGATTGGTCCTCAGGCAGCCAAGTTTATACAACTTGACTTCATCCACATTAATTGGACCTGAGTGGTCAGTTGCATGACCAATTTAGGGCCAGTTTCTCTATCCCTAGAATCTACAACAGAGAGAATGCCATCCGAGCTGGGCTGGTGTCTTGAACCATGGAGATGTTTTGCGGGAAGATGTGAGTAGCCATTCCACCCAAGGGCATGAAGTTCAAGAGGAATCACATGCAAAGTAAGTAAAGACAAAGAGATTAAAGAATTGCCTGGTGAATTCATTACCTATTGCTGTACCACAGATTGCCCCCAACACAGCAGTATAAAACCACCAACATTGATTAGCTTACATAGTTTCTGAGGATCAGGAATCTGGGACCAGCTTAGCTGGGTATTTTTGGCTCAGAGCCTCTCATGAGCGTTCTGTCAAGACGTTGGTTGGAGCTAGAGAATGCACTTCTGCAGTTACTCAGGTGGCTGCTGCCAGAAGGGTTCTGGTCCTTGCCATATGACTTTCTCTATTACGTTGCTTACATGACATGGCAGCTGGCTTTCTCTGTAGCTGAGAGAAAGAGAGAGAGAGCAACCAAGATGGTGGTGGAACTTAATTTTCCCCTTCTTGAATGTGTACTGGACTTAGTGACTCTTCCAAAGACAAAAATATGGCAACAGAAAAATAGTAACCATCCAGTGGAAAAACATGGCAGATACCAGCTTAACAAAGTAATCAAGACTGACATCACCAGTGATAAGTCACGTTGATCTTATATACTACTGATATGATGTAATGAGAAGGTTATCTCACCTTGTGGTATTCCCTCAAATCTGTAATCCCAGACCAGTTTTGAGAAAATAGCAGACAAATCCAAATTGAGGGACATTCTACAAAATACCTGACCAGTACTCTTCAAAAGTTTAAAGCTTATTTAAAAAAAAAAAAAAAAAGGACTGTGAAATTGTCACAGATCTTAGGAGATGAAGGAAACTTGGTGAATAAATGCCACGAGGCATTCTGGATTAGATTCTAAAACAGAAAAAGGACATAAGTAAGAAAACTGGTGAAATCTGCATGAAGTCTGTGGTTTAATTAATTAATACCAACATAATAGTTTTGACAACGTACCATGGCTATGTTACCACAAAGGGAAGCTGGGCGAATGAAATATGGAAACTCTTTGTATTACCCGTGCAACTATTCTGTAAATCTATAATTACCCCAAACTAAAAAAGCATTTTAACAAGTACACCCCACCCCACCACATTAAACAAACAAAACCAAAGACAATGTATAAAGTGACAAGCCCTGGGTTCAACTTCTATGTGGGATAGTCTAAGAAGACTTCTCAGAGAGAATAAAGTCTAGTTGCATGCAAAAAAGAGTTAAAACTATAGCTGTAGTATCATGAAATACTCAAGTAACTTCTAACAGAATTGTACAGTCTTTTTTTCTCTTTTTTTCTGTGGAATCCTAAGACAATCTGAGTAGAGATATGGGCTCTGTCTCTAGAAAAATGTATATGTATTTTGCATGCAACTTGGATGTTTTGGACATTTGCAAACCCAGTAAATGTTTACATATAAATCCAGAGTGGTTTCATAACCATCTTATGTGCTCTTGATATAATGGAACACTGTGCAGGTTTAATCATTATTTTCCAATTCTTCTCAAATGAACACGAATTGTATATGCAATTTTAAAGATAGTAAAGTATAATAAAGGATATACATGCTTTCATAACTTATGGCTCACTTTTTATGCTGTGTGGTTCTCATAGCTCTTTAATTTAGAAATCATTGGGAAGAATGAGTAAGAGAAGATCCTAGATTCGTCACTCAAGAGAACCAGAAGGGTTAAATCTGTAATTTATCACTCTTTCTCACCATAATCATTGACATTCTTATTACTGACGCAAATGACATATTAAAAATGTACTGCTTCTCTCTCTGCTTTCAAAAGAAATATGTATATGTCGTAACAAAATAAAACATTACAAGAATGTGTGATTTTGAAAGCCAAATTTCTTTATAATTCTTAGCCCCTCTAACAGCTGTTAATGATTTAATCCAGGTACAACATTACACACACACACACACACACACACACACACACACGTGCACGCACGCACACACACACACACACAATTTGTTTTTTAAATGAAAATAGAATTGACATGCATTGTTTGCAATGTGCTTGTGCATGTTTCCATGTCTGTTCACAGAATTCAGTCTCATTGTTTTTTATTTTACACACTTCTGTAGTGTTTTTAACACCTACATGGAATTCAACTGTAAGGATACATCCTAATTCATCTATAGCCCCTGTGCCATGGATCTAGTTTTTCAATGTAACGAAAAATATTGCAATCAAAATTCTTGTATACGCATCTCTGCACCTTTGTGAGAGTATTTCTATAGTATACACTTCTAGAAATGGAATCTTACTCTTAATTTTTTTATCAGATGCCTGCCTTGTCATCCGCACTTCTTAGTTAATCTGTGAGTCCTACTGAACAGTGGCAGAGGGCAAAGGGCCGAGCTGTCCTGCTGGCTGTAGATGGAAAGAGCTCAAGACTCCCGCTTGGCCAAACAGCTTCAATGTTAAGAAAACATGACTTCCTGAGTTTGCAGAGGCCAACATGTTTGCTTTGGTTTAATTGCTAGTCAGAGGAAAATACATCCCAGGAGAGAGCGCCTGTCTCCACCTCATCCTCTTTTTTCATCTTTATTTGAGAAGCAGAGAAATCCAGTGACTATTTGAGGCACTAGGGGTGGAGAGTAAAGTTGTCATTCAGGATGCCAAGTGACTTTTTAGACAGTGGAAAGAAGAATTCTATATAGTAATGAAAACAAACTACACACAGTGTCATGGATGAATCTTTGAAAAATGGTGAGTCAAAGAATTAAGATACAGAAGTATTTATACAGCATAATCTCTGATTATCTACTGTTGTAGAACACATTACTTCAAATCTTCTTGGTTTATACAACAGAAATCACTTATGATCATGCTTTCTGTGGGTCAGATATTTGGGAGTGGCTTGGAGCAATTCCATCTGAGGGTTGCTCTTGAGGTTGAGATTGCAGTTGAATGTCTTTTTTGGGGTACAGTCATCAAAAGGCTCTGGACTCGGGCTGAGGATCCACTTCTAAGGTGGTTCAATCACGAGGCTGGCAAGTTGGTGGTAGGTGCTGGTGGGAGACCTTGGTTCCTGTCGACAAGGGCATCTTCAAAGGACCCCTTGAATCTTCCCATGCTCGCTTCAGAGTGAACTATCTGAGAGAACTAGGCAGAAATCACAGTTGACTTTTGTGACAGCTTTAGAAATTAGTCACACAAGACCAGCCCTGATTCAATATAGGAAGAGACCATCAGGAGACCTGCATTATTGGGGGCCATCTTGGAAGGTGGTGACCATAATTTCATTTATCTGAAGTCCAAAAATAGGCAGAAAAACCCTATATTGCTTACGGGGGCATACTTATTTGTTAAAATTATAGAAAAAGAAGGGCAATGGTGACCGTAAAAGTGGTTATCTTTTGAAGGGAAAAAGCTGTGAGTGGGTAAGGATCATTTGTGAAAGAATACATGTATGTTGTACGTACTTTTCCAAAGTGTAATATGTTTCATAATTGAAAGAAAATACTCTTTAAAAAAAATTAAACCACTGGGGACCTTGGGTGGCTTAGTCGGTTAAGCGTCCGACTTTCGCTTAGGTCATGATCTCGCGGTTCGTGGGTTTGGGCCCCGCGTCGGGCTCTGTGCTGACTGCCAGCTCAGAGCCTGGAGCCTGTTTCAGTCTGTGACTCCCTCTCTCTCTGACCCTCCCCTGCTCACGCTGTCTTTCTCTCTCTCCTAGAAATAAAAACAACAACAACAACAACAACAAAATTAAACCAGGCGTGCCTGGGTGGCTTAGTCAGTTAAGTGTCCAACTTTAGCTCAGGTCATGATCTCACGGTTCATGGCTGTGCTGACAGCTCAGAGCCTGGAGCCGACTTTAGATTCTGTGTCCCCCTCTCTCTCTGCCCCTCGCCTGCTCATGGTCTCTCTCTCTCTCAAAAATAAATAAACATTTAAACAAATTAAACCAAAAGAGAGTTGACATGAGAAACAGAAAGTGTTCTTTTGTCTTTTAGGTCTCAAACATAAATCAATGGATTCTTTCTTTTTTTTTTTTTTTAAATGTTTTATTTATTTCTAGGAGAGAGAGAGAGAGACAGCATGAGCAGGGGAGGGTCAGAGAGAGAGGGAGTCACAGACTGAAACAGGCTCCAGGCTCTGAGCTGGCAGTCAGCACAGAGCCCGACGCGGGGCCCAAACCCACGAACCGTGAGATCATGACCTAAGCGAAAGTCGGACGCTTAACCGACTAAGCCACCCAGGCGCCCCTGATCAATGGATTCTTAAAGAATAATTGAAAGTATGGTCAAAACAGGAATAACAACAATAGCAACAATTAACATTTAAAATTAGCCACAAGTTCTTATAAGTTCCAGAAAATAAACAAGCAAAGTGCTTTTTATAGGTATCCTTGCTTAATCACCACCATAACTAGTTTGTTTCGATAATCCCCTTTTTTGGGAATAAGGAAACTGAGAAGGAGGGTGATTTAGGCATCTTGCCTACCAGGCAGTACATGGTAGAGGCAGGGTTTAAATGCCAGCCACTGTGCCTTTCCGATGCCAAAAAGGTCAGACCATTGGTATACATTTTAACTCTTTTTATTCTCTGCCTAGATTGAACAAACTTTGGAAACCCTTAGCTGGATCAGTCAACTAGTCTTTTCCAGTATGCGCCTGGCACAAAGTACTTCAATAAAAAAAACCTGAGACAGTGGGGCATGCCTGGGTGGCTCAGTCGGTGAAGTGTCTGACTCTTGATTTTGGCTCAGGTCATGATCGCATGGTTTGTGGGTTTGAGCCCTGCAATGGGCTCTGCGCTGACAGCATGGAGCCTGCTTGGAATTCTGTCTCCCTCTCTCTCTGCCCCTTTCCTGCTTGCACTCTCTCTCTTAAAAAAATTTTTTTGGGGGGGCGCCTGGGTGGCTTAGTTGGTTAAGCGTCCGACTTTCACTTAGGTCATGATCTCACGGTTCATGGGTTCAAGCTCCGCGTCAAGCTCTGTGCTGACAGCCGGCTCAGAACCTGGAGCCTGTTTACAATTCTGTGTCTCCCTCTCTCTCTCTGACTCTCCCCTGCTCACACTGTCTCTCTCTCTCCTAGAAATAAATCAAAGTTTAAAAAAAATTAAAAAAAATTTTTTTTTAAAATGAGAGAGAAAAGTAAAAACAGATGTTTCCTGAGTGAATAAAGAATTAAAGATTATTTTATTTATTGTGCAAAAATGTTGTATGGAGCGTATTATGTGGCAAGCACTGGCTAATGGTCTGTGTGTCTTACAAGTATTAATTCTTTTACTGTTTTGTGACTGTCCCCTGATGTCCACTCTAATTCATCTGTAAGAGGTAAGTCCCTGGGGATAGTCCCTTTTTCACTGGCCCTGAGGCAAACTGGAAGTTTTCTGTTTTTCCAAGTACTTGACTTTTACCCCCGGGGCTTGATATTTTAGCATCTTACTTTTGCAAGTCAATTCCACAGCAGTATTGCTGAACCTCTACTCCTACTGGGCTTTAGGGGGAAACAAAAATGAATGTATTTTCTTCTGTAACCTGACAAACTTAGTGCTTGTTTTTGCAAAGGTTCTGAGAACTTTTTGGGTTAGCATGGATGGGGACATCAAAACCTTTGAGGTTTACCCATGTAACCTTCATGACGGGAAATGTGCATACATCGTGGTTTATTTCAGTTTCTGGTTTTAGTTCCTTTAATAAGTGCTAAATATGCTTCATTCAGTCATTCTCCCGCATGAGATTTCTCCAAATGACCCGTTAACAAGTCTGAACGTGTCCACTTGTTGTTCTAATGAAGAGATCTCAGTCTCCTTATCAGCAGTGCCTCTGGGACACAGGCTAAATTCTACTGTGATAAATCAATTTAGACTAGGAGAGAGTCCTAGTGATGGAAAGTTATTTCGTTCAATCAATATTTGCCTGATGTACAAATGGACACTGTGGAAAACCTAAGATAAAAATCCCATTTTTATTTGTATTACCATTGCTATCATTATGAAAAGGAACAATGTAAATTTGCTAGAAAATATATTCTCTTTTACCTGATGGGTAATCCATTTGTTTATTCAGCAGTTATTGAGTATCTATTGTGCGCATGGTCCCAGCCCACAAGGGGCTCATGGTTTGGACAAGGGTAAGGGTGTATTTGGTTTGTGTATGTGGTAGTGGTAACAGTGGGGTAAGGGTGGAGGTGAGGGGATTTGTATGGAAAGCTAAATAAATATAATGAGGTATGATGCAGATAGTGTATTTGGGGAACTTAGGGATGGGGCTTCTTTTTTTTTTTTTTTTTTTTTTTACAAATAGTTTATTGTCAAATTAGTTTCTACATAACACTCAGTGCTCATCCCCAAAGTGCCCTCCTCCATGCCCATCCCCCCTCCCCCCCACATCCATCAGTCCTCAGTTTTTGTCAGCATTCAAGAGTCTCTCATGGTTTGCCTCTCTCCCTTTCCCCCACCATTTCCGCCCTTCTTCTCCCCCTTGTTCCTCCGTCAAGTTCCTCCTAATCCTCCTATACGTGCAAACATATGGTATTTGTCCTTCTCTGCCTGACTTATTTCGCTCAGCATAACACCCTCAAGGTCCATCCATGTTGCTACACATGGCCAGATTTCATTGTTTCTCATTGCCATGTAGTATTCCATGGTATAGATAAACCACATCTTCTTGATCCATTCATCTGTTGATGGACACTTAGGCTCTTTCCATGTTTTAGCTATTGTGGAGAGTGCTGCTATGAACATTGGGGTACATGTGCTCCTATGCCTCAGCATTTCTGTAGGGATGGGGCTTCTAAATCAATCTGGGGACCTGGCGAGGGTCGGTAGGGTAGAGCCAGACTTTCTGACGAAGGTAACACCTGAGCTGTATCTTAAGGTTAAAGAAGTGTTTGGAGCAAAAGAGGAAGAGAAAGACACTCTAGACAGAGAGAAACAGCCTGACCTATTCCAGGAGCTCCAAGCAGTTTGGGGTTACTGAAGCTCTTTAATATGGAAGTTAGAGAGTGATCTGAGAGGAGGAAGAGAGGGTGGGAGAATCCAGGGCATGGAGCTGGGTATCTAATATTAAAGAGCCTGGTCTGCGTTCTGTAGCAGTGGGGATCCTAAAAGGGCTTCAAACAGGGAAAAGACAAGATGAGGTTTGTGTTCTAGAAAGATCTCTCTCGGCAAAATTTCAAAAACATGTGTGCTTTTTGGTCTAGCAATTCAATCTCCAGGCAATTAGCGTGAATGGGGACAAAGATGTAGCTACTGGGAAAGAAGTGAAATGTTCTTTATCTCTAGTAGTAAAACATTGAAAACAGTCAAAAGGTCCAACAATGCAGACATTAGAAAAACAAATGCAATAAGTTTATAAAATAGAAAGTATATTTTAGAAACATTAAAATGAGGTTGTAGGCAAGGAAAGGTATTTATGATACATGAAAAGGAAAGGTGTGATGAAGAAGTGGTATATTCAGTATTACCGTTTGAATATTTACTGAGACTGTACATACATTTATATTTATATAATGAATATATTGAATATTGAGTGACATATTCCTAGATATGGGTATATATTTAGGAATATATATCTATATTTATAAAATATATACTCATATATGTATACATATACATATATACACTTGTATCTATATGATAAATATATTGAATATTGAATGACATATACTTAGGTATGGATATATATTGAATATTGAGTGACATATTCCTAGGTATGGGTATTACTGGAGAGCAGTATTATGGGTGTTCAAAAATGTTTTTCTTTTACTTATCTCCATTTTGTGATTTTTAAATAATAAAACTTTTTACTTTTCTTTTTTTTTTTTTTTAAATTTTTTTTTTTAATGTTTTATTTATTTCTAGGAGAGAGAGAGAGAGACAGCATGAGCAGGGGAGGGTCAGAGAGAGAGGGAGTCACAGATTGAAACAGGCTCCAGGCTCTGAGCCGGCAGTCAGCACAGAGCCCGATGCGGGGCTCGAACCCACGAACCGCGAGATCATGACCCAAGCGAAAGTCGGACACTCAACCGACTAAGCCACCCAGGCGCCCCACCTTTTTACTTTTCTAATGAAAAGAGCTTTATTTAAAATATTTTACATAGAAGTTAGTAATCTTTTCACTACTTTGGTAGTTGTTTAGAGGAAGACAAAAAGCACGAATGCCTTTTTTGGAGTATATATTCCATCTTTTGGAACATTTTATTTTATTTTATTTTATTTTATTTTTTAGAGAGAGAGAGAGAGAGACAGCGTGAGCAGGGGAGGGTCAGAGAGAGAGGGAGTCACAGACTGAAACAGGCTCCAGGCTCTGAGCTGGGAGTCAGCACAGAGCCCCACGCGGGGCCCGAACCCACAAACCACGAGATCATGACCTAAGCGAAAGTCGGACGCTCAACCGACTAAGCCACCCAGGCGCCCCTGGAACATTTTATGTTGTACTGCTTACTCTAATTCCTGTGACTTCAGATACCTTGGAACAAGAATGTATGGCATGACCTTTATTGATTGTTCTGTATTGGGTTTGAAGTCAC